CATTTTTTCTTATTTTAATCATTTTAGATGAAAATATAAATAAAAATTAATATTTAAAGTTCCATATCATATGCCACGTCAACAATGACTGAATTTTCTGTTAAATATTTACGGTCAAAATCAGTCAACACTAACGGAAAAAAAGTGATTCGAGTGATATTCATAAAAAAGAAGGTAATTCGAGTCACCGGAGTTGGACGGATGCTAACTGGAAAATGACAAAATGTGACTTGTCTTAGTAATTTGAGTGACCAAAATTGATATTAATTTTTTCTAGTGACTAAATATAACACGATTTAGTAATCCCAGTGACCAAATGTGGCATTTATCCTACACAAATTATCTACACAATAAATAAAAGCCAAATGAGAAAACTTCAAGCTCCATTTCTAATTTCCTGCATCCAGAGTGAAAGTAGGAAGGACATTTTGGTCTTCACAATTACTTTTATTTATTTATTAAAAAAACACTTACTAGGATTCGAAACATGGCCACTTTAAAGAAAAGCAAAGATCATAACCAATCACACTAAGTACATTTGTTGTATCTTTTTAAATTAAAAATATATAACCGTAGAGAGAATAAAACCCTACCCCCCCATTTCAAATTCCCTGCTCCAGGAGCGTTTGTAGGAAGGGTAGAATAGGGAGTGTCGATTTTTTTTCTTTTTCCTCTGTGGAACGGGCCAACTTACCGTACACATGCGGATTTAAACGGGTCCAGGAGTGTCAATTTTTTCTTTAATTCCTTTTATTTCTCCGTGGTGGTAAAATATATATGAAAAGGCAAAAACAATACTCCTTTTTATTGCTAAAAAGAAAAAAAATTAACAATAAACTAATGCATGGATTCTAATGGGCTAACCGCTAATCATAAAATAAAAGAGTTGAATGAGCATGACCTACGCGGGATTTGCCCATCAAGTAAAACAAATGAACATCATGGGTTTGCCATTCTAAAACAAGTTATTTTCTCTAGCATAATATATATTATGTTATTATTTTATATCTTAGTGGCTAAAATATAATGTATTTAAAAGTTATTCAATGGTTCAACCTCGACCAACCCAATTAGTCCGATTTTTATCATTTCAAATATATATTATGTAATTATTTGATATCATAATGATTAAATAATAGTGTATATTATAGGAATCGTTTGGTATTTGTTAGTAAAAAACTAAACACAAAGATCTATTTGGTTATTTTTAACATTAAAACGATCCTAAACATTTTCAGTTTCCTTTCGAAATTCTATAGTTTTATTCCCGAATCAGTGATGTGCAAATGGCGAATTGCAGTCATCTCTTTTCTTTTATTATTTCTTATTTTCAAATAGAAAGTTTAAAAGTAAAGAATAATTAGAGTTTGGCGTGGGTCGGTCAAACGGGATGAATTTCAAGTTTTGGCCCGTTTTGATCAAGTCTAATTTATAATCACATGATTCCCTGCTACCCGATAAAAATCTCAATCCAAACCAGTTTGGCAGGTGAGTCCGTGTTTACCACCATTTTCTAGGGATACAGGAACAGTGGTTCCTATCCCAAATCGTGTTCTTCATTCTTGATTTCTTTAGATTTTATTATGGCTTGGCAAAAAATCAGAAAGCACAATGATGACAAGATGTAAGTTTTATAAAGCAAATTAATCGGCCAACGGGTCGAGTAAAAGCTAGCAACGATTGTGGGATGTTCATTTCCCGAAAACCAGTGGGATATGCGATTTTTTATTCGGTTTCTATAAAACTTACTCCACCTCATCATATTACCAGAAACAATATTGTTTCACAAGGTACTTGATTTTGGTTCATAAGGCTGATTTTTGATTCGTTGCATCATTCATGTCTCTTTCCTACTAAAATTCACTATTTTTATCACATGTTTCCCAAAAAAAAAACTATACAACAATAAGCTATACACCCCATTACATTATCAAATTTCATACCTCACCTTCCTCCGGCCAAATGGTCGGGGCCACGCTTGTATAAAATTAAAGGTCCTAATTCATTAAAATATTAATATATTGATAAAATACAATATTATGAAATTAAATGAAACTGATCCGACCAACAGCCCCCTAAAAGTTAGTATATATAAAGGCCAAGCCCAACATTAATTACCCAAACCCATAATTAATCAAAACACATAAAAAAATTAATCCCAAATCCCAAACTGAAAATAACCTCATCATCAAACCGTGACATCTGCCCATGCTCGCGAGATGACATCTGCCTCCTGGAACTTTGCAATTCTCACAATTTTGATGTGGATGTCACGGCGTGGCTGTGAGAATCTGCTCTACAGCGTGAGTTTTGGCACTTTTCTCCATTTTATCCCATTTTGGCTCTCTTTTGTCCAATTTTTATTCTTTTTTGCCAATTTCACCTGTTCGAACATAAAACACACTCAAACATGCAAAACCTAGTGTAAAACGACTTCAACAATGATGAAACACAAGTAAAAAGGCCAAAAAATTTGTTATAAATTTGTACAATTAGGCTTGAATCAATCGAATGAGTTCCTAAGTTGAGCTTGCATCCCTTCATGGTGCAAGCATCTAAATGCTAGTTGCATGGAACGAGATGGAACACGGCAGTTCTATACTATCAATCCTCAATTCGATTGACCAGCGTGGTGCCTCAAGGGAGATATAAGCAAAGGTTCCTTGTTGTCTTCCAGACCTAGGTAAGAAACCAAGGCACAAGGTAGGATTAGATCCTATAAGTATCAAGCAACTCCTATGTTACCGGAATAGAGAGACAAGTCGAGGAACTCTAGGGGGAAGGTTTGTTTGTGCAACGCCTCTCTCTTATGCTTCATACACTCGCACTAGATATATGTTTCCTTTACACTTGCTTTCAATTTTTTACTGTAAAATCGAGGGGACCTTCAACTCCAGAGGAACCTCAACATCCATATTCACGTTTTACACCTCATAGAACTCGTCTCTCGCCACCTGAGTAAGTGCTTGTGAAAGACCCTAGAGAATTCGATCTTGACCTTAAGCTTAGGTAAATTTTCATCCACATACTACATGAGATCACATTTTCATTTAGGGTACCCCTTTCTTTGTCCCTTTTGTTTGGGTTTCATTTGCAAATTACACTTCGATACCTAAATTTAATAGATGCTAAGATTTAGTACCTAAAATTGATTTTCTGCAAAAACAAATCCTATAAATATTGATGAAAAATTATACTTTAGTTTGTTTTATATTATGATACCTAAAATTTTTAAAATATACAAATAGGTCCAAATTTCATGAGGTTTCTGGTCTATGTTAAGAAACTTGTGGTATGCTTTATGAGATTTCTGGTATACTTTAAGTAACGAGCAGTATACTTTAATAAACTTGTAGTCTGGTTTATGAGCTTTTTGGTATGAAGTACAAGGTTTCCGGTATGCTTTTAGATACTTGTGGAGTGTTTTAAGAAACTTGTGTATGCTAGGGAACTTGTGGTTCGTTTTAAGAAACTTGTGACATTTGCACATGCCCGCGAGATGACTTTAGTATTCTTTCTTATTATTAACACAAGATAATCATATATATTGATTGGAAAAGAGATCATTACATCCTGGACCGAAACCAGGCCACAAAATCAAAAGAGCGACACAAGGCCGGGTACAAGAAAAGGGCCTTACGAGCCACCAAATGGGCTACCTTATTACTACGCCGACCAACAAATCGCACTGAAAACCCTATATGCTCAGACATGTAGCTTAAAACTTCACAGAAAATAGCCCCAGCACGACTATCATTGTTCTGAGCTTGGTTAAGTCTATCAATAACGACCTTAGCATCACCCTCGAACCGAACCACCGATATAACCCCTCTGAACGCACCAAAGGACCGCATCCTCAGTATTCAGCCTTCTGAACTTTGTGCAATCCTCACTGTTTTGATGCGGATGTCACGACCTAGCCGTGAGAATCTGCTCTGGATAGTGAGCTTTGACACGTTTCTCCATTTTGTCCCGTTTTGGCTCCCTTTTATCCGACTTTCATTCCTTTTGCCAATTTGACCTGCTAGAACTTGAAATATACTCAAACATGCAAAACTTAGCATAAAACGGCTTCAAGAACGATGAAATACAAGTCAAGCGACCAAGAAAAGGGATATAAATGTGTATAATTAGACTTGAATCAACCAAATGAGTTCCTAAGTTGAGTTTGCATTCCTTCATGGTGCAAGAATCCAAATCCTAGTAGTCTGGAACGAGACCGGACACGTCAATTTTATAACTATTGATCCTCGATTCAATTGACCAACGTGGCGTTGATATGTCGCGACATTGAGTTTTACATTTATAAACTCAATCATCGACAACACTAACTAGACCAATCTAGGACAACTGCACCCTAAATCAGCAAAGTAGTATAGTGGTAATCGAGGTTGTTTCCACGGGTCACAATATCTAGGGTGGCTATACGGTCCGGTCCTGTTAAATTGGCCCGGATTGATCCGGTCCCGGTCCGGTCTTTTCAAGAAAATAAGGATCAAAGATTGGATTGGATACAGTCTGGTCTTGATCCGATCCGGTCCCAATTCGGTCTTGATTTTAAATTTAACTTGTGGGGATTGAGTGGTCTAAGCCCTGAGGGGGATTTGAGTGGCCTAAGGCCTGAAAGGGTGAGGATGTTAAATTTTGGTTGTAGGGCTCTCTTATCCGGTCTTTATCCAGTTTTTCGGTCCAGTCTCAAACGATTTTTTACCTCCAATCTATGCCCGAAGATTGGATTGGACTGTTTGCTATCTGGTCTCGGTCCGATCTCGATCCGGATTATACAGTCCAATTTTGGGTAAAACTAAAAAACTCGGACAAATAGCCAGCCCTAATGATAATATCCTAGACTACTTAAAATCGATTATTATCTAGTCAACCCGTTACTTAGCAATCTCCGTAACTTGATCATCATGGATCATTCTTTCAATAGCTATTAGCTAATCTAGGCACCATTTTTTTTTTTTACAATTAATCTAGGCACCATTTTCGACCCCTAATGAGAGGTGATCTACGACTAATACGGTAGCAAGTCACTTTTGATACTATTCTCAGCCCAACTTGAAAATAACACACAAAACAGCAAAAACAAGGTAATTCAGATTCATTCAGTAAAAAAGAAGGGTACAAACACTAAAATATTACAAATGCTGATACGTTGAATTAAAAACAAATAACACTACAGCCTCCGATTCTGAGTGGGCAACCCATTCTCAGTTCCCATCCACACTGAGCCTGCTGGAAAATCAATTAGGTCGCTCTAACAGCTGAACGAAAACCCAACCTCGGGGCCTTGCCAACGCCCCAGGGGACTTCCCTTGCTCTCTGAACTTAGGAGGACTTGTGGAGCTTGAACCCAAAAACTCTTGGTACATAACTCTGTGTTGCCTTCTGTGGCTTCAAGTGTCCATACGTCATCAGAAATAGGTGAGGAAACGTTGTCCCAAAGTATGCTCCATCAAGGTCTGTGCATTCGTTAATGAAAAACAGCAAACCGCTTCCAGCAAAGATACGTAGCACAGAAAGCAAAAGTGGTACAGAAAGCAAAAGTGTAAGAAGCAAAAGCGAAAGAACAATTTCAAATAATAACAAAGGATACTGCCTTGGTACTTTGATCGAGGGTAATATATGTCTTCACATTTCGGGCAGTAAATTTTAACAGTACTTGAACGAGGAATATCAGATTGGCCAACTGGAAGGCAGGGCTGTCCACAGCAGTAAACTCTTGGGCATCTCCCGAAGTCGTAGTTCTTGTACTTCTCCAGCTGTACAGATTTTTGCACACAACCAAACTTATAACTAAACCCAGGAGAAATAATTGAACTGAAAAACAACGATAGAGGATGATAATTCAGCACGAGGACTATACCATTGCAGCTATGCCCTTGCTAGTGAGTATATAACGCACATGAATTAGACCATAAAGCATCTCTGCTGCTGACTCCACCAACTCATTCTGCTCATCAGTGAACATATCACCTGCACAACAACCCATCATAGGTGATAACTGGATTAACTTATATAATTTTGCAGTAAGGTTTAGATCATTAGGGCAACTCCCACTTTGGGTTTACTTAATGATTCGTACTGGGAAAATGAGTTCACTACAGATTCCCACACTTAGTAGATTGTCCAAAGAGAAAGAAGAATAGGAGAAAGGAAATGAACAAAGTTTTCTTGCAACTAAACATAAGAGAAATTACATTTGAGTACTGGGCACAGTGGTAGGTTAGCAAGGGTAAAACATATTTTTCGTGAAGTTCAGTAACTCACAGAATAGCTAACAGAAATTTATGGCTACAAATGAAATTCCTATGTTGAAATGAAGCCTCATTAATTCAGCAAAACTTACCGTGAGAAGATTCCACGTCTAATATTAGATCAAGTGCATAATCATAATACGGAACTTGACTGCTCAATCCACAAAGATTAAAATCATCTTGGATGTATTCATCATCCACTTCACAGAAAAATTCATTTCCTCGAAGATTGCAGAACCATGAAATCCAGGATGTGTCATCCCCCTCAGAACCACTTACGTCTGACTCTTCACTGTCAGTCTCAGATTCCTCTGCACCACCAACCATTAACTTAGTGAGGAATTGAAGTGTTAAAGTTCCGACTTTACAGCAATAGGAAAGAGAGATGAACATTAACTGGTGATCTGACATGACACAACCTGTTCAAATGAGATCATCCCCTGGACTATAATTAAATCACCACAATTGTGATTAAGTTGGACACAAGATCATATGAGGAACTATTATTGAAACAAAAACGAATACAGTTATTATGCTTCTTTACAAAAGATCAGATCAAGCAAGTTTCATTCAGGGTGGAAATTATTCAAATTAGGCTTACTCCATACTATCCTCCTCATGGAAGGAGCACTGATGAGAGGAAGGATACTTTTGACCATCAACTTCATGGAGGCATGAAGAACAGTGATGAGTAATGGCAGTCGTAGGCTTTCTATAGTTGTTACGAACCAAAACATTACGGAAATAGGCATAATGAATGAATTCAGTTAGCGTTGATAGTTATTGCCCCTGTATTTCCACCTCATCTAATCCTATGAGTCCAACTTAATTGCAAGCATTCCGAATTAATTGAACTGAGGTAGCCATAAAGAAGGCAATGTGTTGCAGAAAGGGGAAGCTAGCGAGAGTGTAACCTCTCGTATCACGAGTGGCACATTTTAGGTTCCCTGACGACATGAAAATGTTTATGTTCCATGCGGAAAACCATTACGGAAAGAAGTCATAGAAGTCAAGAGGCCAAAAAGACATCAATTCATCAATGCATGAATCATTTTGAAAGGAAACCATTAAAACCATAGAGATGCAGTTAACCACAATCCATGAGACAAGATGACTGCTCTCCCAATTGCTAACTTAAAAATCTTGACAGCAAATTCAAATTTATCAAATACCAAAGAAATATTTGTAAAAGAGTGAGCAAATGTGTTTGGTCCAGGCCAAGAAAGAATGAAAGAAGCACAAAACTGACCCTAAAGAGGTAAAACCCAATAATCTGTTCAGCAGCATGAACCAGAAAACCTACCATCGGAACACTTGTTCTTGGATAGAGAAGCCACTCGAGAATCGCGATGATCGAGCTGCGATTTGCCCGTGGAAGTGGATGGTACGGACAGCCTCTCTTTGTCCTTGCTGTTCAAGGCCCTCGAAGTTGATGGAGACGATTTCTCTAGGTGCTTGTCAAGCGCATCGTTTATGCGCTTCCGATCGAGGGGTCCTCCTACAAGCTCCGATCTCGATGAAACGCTGCCGGCTCCTCCCCGATCCCGATGATACATAATTTGCTTTCTAACAGGCACTTGAGAATGCGAAACGCTAATATGAACCTATCTCGACCAAAACTTCAAGCATTAGAACGCCAACATGGTGATTGGTGAGAGATGAAAACGATAGAGCGAGGTAAACCCTAGATTGGAGAAGTTAGGGTTTCCCGAGGGAATTGAAAGGAAAGAGATCGGCAAGGAGGGGGTAACCCAGATAGAGAAAGAGAAATAGAACGAGTGCGAGGCAGGACTGGTCGAGTCCGGTCGAAAATATCAGAATAAGCATCCAATTACGAATCGGCCCCTGTTTCTTTTTTTATTTTTTTTAAATACATTTATATATGCATAACTTTCACATTTTCGACAAATATAGCTATAGGGCTGGTATTCGGTAAACCGGCTTAGGATAGGGTGAGTAACCCTTTGTTACTCACTCGTGAGTAACCACCTAGGGACCGTCGATCTTGGCCGGACGGATCTTGTGGCTGTGATTGATGCGGTGATTTTTGTCCACGGTCAGGGGCATTTTTGTCCGATATTTTATATTTGAATTAAATGACTTTCCCTCTTTGTCCGTTGCAAATCTTTCTGTGCGTGAGTTGGATTCGGATTTTGGAGAGAGAAACTACGAGCAGGGGGAACAGCAGCTGAGAAACTAGGACGTCGATTCTCCATGGTTGATCGACGGCGATAGAAACTGCGAGCAGCAGCTTCGAATCGAGCTTTCTGATTCTCCATAATTGATCGACGTGTGCGCGAGTTGGATTCGGTTTTTGTGGAGAGAAATTGCGAGCAGCCGCTGCGAAACAGGGGACGGCGAATCTTTTCTGATTCTCCATAATTGATCGACGACGAGGTTAGATATTAGTTTTTTTTATTCTTTCTGTTTAGCTAATCGAGTTTTCTGTTGATCTCTGGTTTCGTTGGAGGTTTTTCATTGCTGCTAGTCGAGCTTGTTTATGTTTAGCTAATCGAGCTTGTTCATGTGTTATGTTCTTTGTGTTTTGGTGTTTTGGTAGTATTCTGGTGAGATGAGTAACGTAAATTGTGGCGATGTTGTTCCAATTGATAGATCTGGTTCTTCAACCAGCGTTGTAGGATCTGGTTCTTCATCTAGTGCTGTTGGAACTGCTTCTTCATCTATTGATCTTGGATTTGATCATTCAGCTAACTCTGGTGAATCAGGAGGTAAGATATGCAAATTTGTTTGTTTATTGAAGTTTGTATAGTGTCGTAATTTGATTTTACCATGCCTTATCATGTGGTAATTGATTTTATAGTACATTACCATGTGGTAAAATGTGGTAATTAGGAAGTTAAATGTGATGTTTCTGTGTGATAATTGATTTTACCATGCCATACCATATGGTATAGTGTGGTAATTTGATTTTACCATGCCTTATCATGTGGTAATTGATTTTACAGTACATTACCATGTGGTAAAATGTGGTAATTAGGAAGTTAAACTTGAGGATTCTGTGTGATAATTGATTTTACCATGCCAATCCATATGGTATAGTGTGGTAATTTGATTTTACCATGCCATACCATGTGGTATAGTGTGGTAGTTTGATTTTACCATGCCATACCATATGGTATAGGGTGGTAATTTGATTTTACCATGCCTTATCATGTGGTAATTGATTTTACAGTACATTACCATGTGGTAAAATGTGGTAATTAGGAAGTTAAATGTGAGGGTTCTGTGTGATAATTGATTTTACCATGCCATACCATGTGGTATAGTGTTGTAGTTTGATTTTACCATGCCATATAGTGTGGTAATTTGATTTTACCATGCCATACCATGGTGGTAACTCTTGTATCATGGCTGTAATTATTGGTATACATTGAGATTTCATACTGTTGTGGTGTGGAATCCATTTAATATGTTGTTTCATAATGTTTGTAGGTTTCAATGGTATAGATCCTACTGTTCGTGATTCTTGGAAGGACTTAGAGTTCAATACACCAGATGATGCATATAATTTTTATGTTGATTATGGGAATCATGAAGGTTTTGGTGTGAGGATTTATAACCAATCAGCGTGTCCGAAGCTCAATGGTGGTTCTTCAGCTGTATATTATATCAAGTATTGTTGCAATAAGGAAGGTTGGAAAAGAGGTAGCGAGAATAACCCTGATAATGCAGGTGTTGTTGATACTACGGTTCGTGTTCGTAATGTTCCAGAACTCAGGGGTGGATGTAATGGTACTTATATACGACTGAGGTGGTTTAAAGAGTTTAAATGCTACAAGATCTATCGTTGGTATAATGTGCACAACCATGACATGATTCCTGAGTCTCTGCATCACTATGTGAGATCCAGCAGACGAATGGCTCCTGTGTATAAGATGTTGGTAGAGGTGAATGATGCTGCTGGTATTGGTGTGACTTCTTCGTATAATGCAATTAGTAGGGCTGGTGGTGGTCGGAAGTTTGTTGGGTTCACAAAGAATGATTTGAAGAACCATTTGCGAACGGTTAGGACATCATCAATGGAGTATGGTGATGCGACTGCATTGCTTGAATACTTTAGACGTCAAGCACAGCTGGATCCTGGGTTCTTTCATGAGGTGGAGGTTGATGTTGAAGAGAACATTGCTAGTATTTTTTGGGCAGATGAGAAGATGAGGATGGATTATCATTATTTTGGTGCTTCAATTAGTTTTGATACTACTTACCGGACTAACAAAGAGTATCGGCCACTAGGTATGTTTTCTAGTTTGTTGTTTATTATTGTGTTTGTTAGTTTGTATGATTATTATTATTATCATTCTGTATCATGTTTTTTTTGTTCTTAAAAGTATTTTACCATATGGTATGTATTGGTAACAAGGTTATTTGAGGTGGTTTTTGTTCTTAAAAGTATTTTACCATATGGTATGTGTTGGTAACAAGGTTATTTGAGGTGGTTTTTGTGCTTAAAAGTCTTTTACCATATGGTATGGGTTGGTAACAAGGTTATTTGTGGTGTTTTTTGCGTTGTTAGAAGTGTGTACTATATGGTAGTCTGGTGTGGATTGTTTTTTTTTTTTTGTTCTTAGAAGTCTTTACCACATGGTATGAGTCTTTACCATATGGTATGGGTTGGTATTATTGTTATTCGTACCTTTTACCACATGGTATGTGTTGGTAAATTGTTTTTACTCACATTTTGTTATGTTTATGTAGCTTTGTTTGTTGGTTTCAACAATCATCACCAACTGACTGTCTTTGCGGCTGCTCTTCTATATGATGAAACAACGGCAACATTTGAATGGCTTTTCGATCAGTTTTTGAAATGCATGGGAGGTGTGAGACCGTTATCAATGTTTATTGACCAGGCTGCTGCAATTGCTGCTGGTATAAGGTCTGTTTTCCCAGATTGTTTTCATGGGTTGTGTACATGGCAAATTGCTCAGAATGCAGTTGTTAATCTGGGAAGTTTGTGTGACTCTGACTTCCTTCGTGAGCTTAGTTATTTGATGTATAATGCTGATGATGAGGATGATTTTGAGTATAATTGGAAGAAGATGATTGAGAAGTGTTTTCCTGGGAAGGGACCTTTGGGACACAGTTGGTTACAGGGCATTTACAAAGTCAGGACGAAGTGGTCTTCAGCCTGGGTGAATTGTCATTTTGGTGCGGGAATGAAGAGTACCCAGCTAAGTGAGTGCTGCAATAGTAATATTCGACATTACTTGCAGTCAGAGTTTAGCGTTAGTAGGTTCTTTGTGCACTTTGAGAGGATGCTTGATAATAAGAGGGATGCTAAAGAACAAGAAGAGTACTATGCCTTATCTAGGTTGGCTGATTCTCGGTTTTCTACTAGCCCTATTGTGAAGCAAGTTGCTAATGTGTATACGCCGAAGATATTCAAGTTTTTCCTGGATCAGTACAAGGAATCCCTTTGCGTATAATATTTTTTCCAATACGGAGATAGAACCAGAAGGACATGTAGGACTGTTTGATGTCTTCATATTGGAGGATGACCTTACAAGGTTGGATAGTAGGGTGTTGAAGGTTGATTTTGAAAACGGTGAAATCAAGTGTTCTTGCCGTAAGTGGGAGTCAAGTGGTATGATCTGTAAGCATCAAATTAAGGGATATGATATGTTGTGGTCTACAACATGCAATCTGAAGTTCCAGCACATTCCTAGCAGTTTGATTTTGAAGCGGTGGACAAGGGCAGCGAAAACTGGAGGGAACTTTTCTTTTGAAGTTCCGTCTACTGATAGTCCATCGAAATACCGTTCTCGTCTTTTCAATCTGTCAGCTGTTTCTGCATCAATGATCAGCAGGGTTGCATTGGATGATGATTTGTATAAATCAGCCATGGCCTTCATGACTGATTTGATCAAAAAGTGTGAAGCCCTATCGATTACTGAACCTGCTGGAACAAGCACGTCTTCTAACGGTGATAGTAAGTTTTTTTTAATTGTTTAGAGTTTGTTTTTGTTTTTGTTATCTGTCATTGATTGTAGTTTGTTTTTGTTATCTTGGTATAGATGATGTACCGGTCCAAAAAGTGAAGGGGTTTAAGCCTAAAAAAGATTCATTCAAGCCTTCGAAACGACCAATTCCAGTTGCGGAGGCTGCAAGGGCTGTAAGCAAGAAGAAGAGAAAAACTAGCAGGCTTGAGGAGGAGAATTTGAAGGCTGTTGAAGAAAGTTTAAGGCTGAAGCTGTAATAGTTTTCTTAGAGGATTATCTGAATGAATGGTTGATGCTGGTTGAGTTGTTGAAGCTATTTTGTTCTTTTGGATTGATTTTTGGTTTTGTTGGATTAATTTTACAATGTTATACCATGTGGTATAATGTGGTAATTTGATTTTATCATGTCAAACCAGGTGGTAATTGATAATTGATTTGAATGTGAAGGTTCTGTTTTATAATTGATTTTACCATGCCATACCATATTGTATAGTGTGGTAATTTGATTTTACCATGTGGTAATGTGTGGTAATTGATTTTACCATGTGGTAAAATATGATATTTTGGAAGTGGCATGTGTGGTAATTGATTTTACAGTAAATTACCATGTGGTAAAATGTGGTAATTTGGAAGTTAAATGTGAGGGTTCTGTGTGATAATTGACTTTACCATGCCATACTATATGGTATAGTGTGGTAATTTGATTTTACCATGCCATACCATATGGTATAGTGTGGTAATTTGATTTTACCTTGCCATAGCATATGGTATAGTGTTGTAATTTTTTTTTACCATGCCATACCATGTGGTAAAATATGGTTTTTTGGAAGTGGTATGTGTGGTAATTGATTTTACAGTGCATTACCATGTGGTAAAATGTGGTAACAAACTAAAACACAGCAGGACTTATGGTTTTTTTTTGCTATTTTACA